GCATGAATTTAGTATTTCATTATCTTGAAGTTCAAAATCCGTGTCATTCATTTCTAAATTGTCATGGATATCCCTCACAAAACAGAAAATAGGCTTTGAGGACACTGATGCATTAGGCAGAAGAGAAGCATCAGTTCCTGGGTTTACATCTGGGGGACAAGACTTCTCTGCCTGATCTGGGAAATTCTTAAAAATTTTCTGTGAAGGTATCTCATTGCCTTTTGCAAATGTGCCACCTGTATCTTTTTGGTCAGAAACTGCTAAAGGAGAACAATCTTTCTTATCACTTGTTTCAGCAGCCCTAAGATTTACACCTCTTTTCTTCACGCTATTTAAGCTTCCCTGTTGTCCAGTGAAATCTTTTGAAGTAGCAGATGAAGTATTAGTTAAATCTATTTTGCCCTCTGACTTCAACAAGCAAGTGTCTTTTAGGTTCTTTAAAGGTAAAAGTGAGCCAGGTAGTGATCGTAGAATTTCAACTTTTTTTGGAGAGACATGGTTTCTTTTCAAATTGTCAGATGAATTTGGTCCTGTTTCATTCTCAGTTTTGGGACAAGATCTTGTATTCCTGTTAAGTGTAACACATACAAACAAACAACTTTAAATATACAGAGACACAAAACTTCAACATAAATACATATTTGAAATTTTTATTCAGGAGAAGAGTTCTTAAGATTTACATTTTCCTCTCTGTATTGGCACTATACATAGAACACGTTTCCCCAGCTTTATTCCCTTGGTTTGAATTTAGATACTTCTCCTGCTGAAGGTGATATATTCCAAATTTCAAATACATTTCCAGTACATTTGAAAATATAGAGTGCTTGCCAATATTGTAATAAATTATTTTATGCCTTGGACATTTCCTGATTTCAATTTTTTTTGCAGTGCTAGTTTCCAATTTATATACCTTCAACCTATTAACAATCTTCTTTACTTGTAAATGGTCATATATAGCTGGTGAAGTCACCAGCTGTGACCTCCCCCCTCAAAAAGATTATCTTCTGTTATCATGAAATTTTGAGATATTTTGTCTGTTCAAGGTCAAGAATAGAAAAAGCAGACTTCCAAAATTTCTTGCCAATTTAATATCCTTGGTATTTCTACCTCTATTTAGACAGCCTCAATCAGGCTGAAGCAAGCATTCATCATGAAATGTCTGAGCCAGTTAATACAGGTCCCTAAGGTAATTATATTTTTTGGTGTCTCATCAAATTCTTTGAATTATGTGGAAAAGAACATGTTGAGAAGAAAAAATAAGTAACTACTCTTCCACAGATAAGAGAAATTAATCTTTGGCCGAGAATCTGTATATCCCACTCAAGAAACTAAAAGCCCTTTATGTTACTTAAACCAGGCTCCTTAAAGGGCAATGAAGTGACAACCTACATCATCATCCAACCCCATATAAGACTATGACAGAGTTTCCAGAAAGTACAAACTTGACTTTATTGCATTCCCAACAATGTACCAGTGGTGCCTCGACCTTATAGGTGGACAGGTGCCTCTCTGGTCTGTCCTTTTACGCACTCTCTCAGGGTACATTCTTCCATGAAGATGGCATCCTAGGCTGACCTTATATTAGAATTCATTTTTCTGCTAAGCGAGGCAGTTTGATCCCTTGAGTAGCAAATACTACCTGTACTTAATTACAAAACTGTGATGATTATACAATTCATTTATGTTATGCTTCTAACAGCCTATTCATCTTTATGACACTACACAATTATAATTTAGACAGTCATTTGTACCAGGAAAAAGATTCTAGGAATGCAGTAAATAAAATGTATTTGAGAAGCAAAACCAAATAAGGCAGAAATGAGAATGCTTATGTTTTAAACAAAAGTCATATTACTCATTCTCCTTCACAGAATGGAAAAAAAGATGGTACAAAATGAAGCCTGTCATAAATTGAAAATCTCACAGAGCTGAATGAAACAAGAGATGGTCAGCAAGTCCAGTGGTGCCACTTCATGTCAAAATGAAAAAAATATAAATAATGTAGTGTGTTTTTAATAAAAGTAATTCAGTTTAAAGAACTGGCTTTTTATTTTGAAATCATGTCCTTCCTATATTAGTGTTAAAACATTCTTTCATCAAACAGTAGTGTATTTATGTGTGTTTGACTAAGTTCCCACTGAGCAGTATAACTTGGCAATTTATACCTTTGTAGCCAATCTTGAAATGTGACTGGTCTGTAAAATCCACAAGTTCAAGAAACTCAATCTAATCACTTGCCCTATTCTATGCCCTTTTTAGTAAACCAGTCACTAAGCCCCATCAATTCTTTAAATAATATCTGTCAAATATGAATTTTACTTCCTTATTCTGTAAAACATCACTCTTTCCTAAGCGCTGGCTGACTTACTACTTCTAACAGTACTCAGTCTCCTAATCCTTTAAATCACTGCAGAAACACAATGCACAGGACATCACCTTTCAGTACTTACAGAATGAGGTTCAAACCCCTTAGGCTTTACCTAAGACACTGCACAATCCGAAACAACCTTATTCACCTTCCTTAGCTTACTCTTGTCCTCTAATTACATGTATAATCCAATAGAGGTACATGAATAAACATTTTAGTCTTGTTTCTTAATTTGTGCTCAATTTTGTTTAGTTTTTCTTCAGATAGGGCTGATGGCAACTCCTACCTTGGATGTGTGGATGTTGCCTTTTCTCTGTTGATTTCTGTGACACCTTTCATGTTAACCTATGTTTAAAAAATACAAAGAAAATCTACATTATTGATGGTTTAAAGTATAATATAAATATTTATTATTTTATTATCAGACATTTGCAACAACTTGTTTTGTCATAATTCAAAATGCACTGTCTCAAACTAACTATATTCATTAATGATCCCTTCTTCAAAACTCAGTGGCTCTGTTGGACTTCCCATATTTCATAAATGTTTGGAGAAACTTTCTTAAAAAGCAATTTGCAGTATTATTTTTGCCCACATCTTACAAGTCTATTTAAGACTGCTCCCTCTTTTGTACTCTTTTGAGTGAACGAGTCACTCAGCCCCATTTTAAGTTAATGCCTGTCAAATAGGGATTTCCCTTTCTTATTCTATAAAATAGCATCTATTCCTAAGCCTGAGATGACTTACTCCTTCCAACTGTACTTCAAAGGACACTTCCCTTCAACACGTACAGAACGGAGTTCAAACTCCTCAGGCCTGTGTTTAAGACAGTCTATTATCTGAAACTTCCATGCTTAGCTTACTTCTGTCTACTAAGTTAACTTTTTTGTTCCAGCTTAATTTTAAACTCATTTCTCAAATAATGTAAGTATGCATTGTGTCTTTGCTCATATTATTTCCACAGCTTGGATATCCTCTTCATTTTTAACTTCACCTGATAATGTTTTTCCTTTAAGGCAAAGCTTTGATTTGTGTTCTTCTATATGAAATCAATATATAAACCTCTATTTAAAAAAATTTGTTTTTCTTCTCAATACACCTTTTTAGTGTTTAGGAAGTATACTTATAAAGTGGTTGTTTATTAAGCACTTCCCTACAAACACAGGGCAATAAATGATTAGTTTCCTAGTCTCCAGAACTAGCTTAACTAACGAATACAATTAAGAGGAAGCTGAGAAAGAATCCTACTTTTCATTTTGCACATAGGTTTCTCTTTCTTCACTCCTGAACTGAGACATTCTTAAAAAGCTGTAAGAGAAGCCTCTGAGGGGACAGTGTGGGCAGTCGTGAGTATGTCTCTGGAGCTAGACTACCTGGCTTTCCTCTGGGCTCTCCCTTCACTAACTCTGTGACTGTGGGAAAATTATTTAACCTTTCTCTGCCTCAGTCTCCATACTTTTTAATAAGATAGTAACACCATAAGCGTTTTGTGAAGAATAAAAATTTGGTATTTGTACAAGCCTTAGAACACTGCCAACTATTTAATAAATGTATAAAATTTGTTAAATAAAATGTACTTCTGTAGGACTTCTAACTCCTTCATAATTATTCATTTAAGCTCTACTATTTCTCTGTGTGGCTGATAATGGTCAAGAACACAGACTCCACTGACAATTTTTAATATTCACAACATTAAGTGTAGCCTTGTTATACAGAAGCTACTCAATAAATACACGGTCACTTGCTTAACTCACATTCATAATACTGGACTTGCCCTTAAGACATTATTAAAATTCATATCCTTCCAAGAAATGTTTTCTAAATAAAAGAATTAATTTGTAAGTTTAAAAGCAGTCATCTGCAAGGTATCTCTCATATATACAATCATTCATATCATTTTATATATAATATGAATTGTTTAATCCAGTAGTTCAGTTCGTAAATTCTTTTTACAAGGCACTATTTAAAGCATTGTCAATTTCTACAATTCTGCAAACCATGTACTAGCTTGCTTAAAGGGTAGACTTGTTCTCAAAAAGAATACTTACATAGGTTTTGTTTTAAAACATTCGTTACCTTTTGTTTTTTACAACTGGGGACAGTAGTATTTTTCTCTTGTTCCTGAGAGTCCTCCCATTTGTCTACAGTGATAGGTCGCTTTTTAGAGGAATTCGAAACGTTTTTCCTTGTGCATTCTAAAACTGAGGGCACCTTCACACAGGCATTGGACTTGTTGATACATTTCCTAAGTTTTACATAAATATTCATGTTTTCTTTTCTCTTCAGTTGGAAAGTCTTCTTTCTGTTACATAGCATTTGGCATAGGATAAAGGAAATGGTTAATTTAGCGTTTTTAGCACATATTATCTTCATACATTCAATAGTTTTCATGACTTTCATAATATGGGCCATTTTCCCTATATCTTTCCGAGAGGCAGCCATTATAGTTTCAAGCAGGGTGGAAAACTGTTTGTAGTTGTATTCTAACTCCGTCATAGTGCTTCCGTAGTTTATGGATGCTATACAGGGCACAAAGTCAACGTATGTGGAAACGGAATACTTAGACTTCTCAAGAAGCTTTTTTATTTCTGAAAGTTCTTCAAGTTCTCTTGAGAACAAATGAAACGCATATGAGCAATTAACAGCTTCACTACAGCTGTAGATAATATCCAGATCTTTCTTAAGTTCAGAAATAGCAGTCTCTATCACCTTCCAAAGGCAACCAGTTGAATTATCTTTAAGAAATGAGAAAGAAGCCATTTTTTCTTGGCAGTGAACCAGTTCAGGAAGGAGTGACAAATCAAACCAAAGCATACCTCGAAACCTCTGTTTGTCTAGTTTCTTTGCCATTGAGTTTTTAAGAAAGTGAACTGTTTCTGAGAGCATGACAATTTCAATATAGGTTTCAATGGCTGCAGGTTTCAAAATTACAGCCTCATGTCTGTGTTTTTTTGCCACATCCAAAACGTTTTCTTCCGTGATAAAAATATTATCTATGTTATCTTCTTGCAGTATCTGAAAGTATTGTTTTAAAATTTCTAAGTGGTGGGTACATCTGAAAGTGAGTTGCTGTAATTTTTTAAAGTCTGCAAATTCAGCTTGATCTAATATTTCACTAATACAACAGATATCTGGGTGTGAAAGCAAACTATTGTTAAACCTAGAGTTTTCTATGCTAATTGCTGCTTTGTTTATTAGATCATTTGACTTTCCGGCAGCAATTATGGTGTTCTCCTGAAGTTTAATACTGGAAATCTGTTCACTGCTTAAATCTTTAGATAACGTATCAAAAATCTTCTGCAACCTAGAAAAAGCATGTTGATTCATTCTGAGTAGTATTTCTTTGTTCTTTCCTGAGTATTTTCTGGAGAAAGACTCTCTCTTCTCTTTCCAAACAAGACTTTTTGCAGCATCAAAAAAGATATGTTCCAGACCATAAAGAGATACTTTAATACTTACTGCCTCATTGCTCTTGATAAAATTAACTTTTGAGGCGATCATTTCTATGATAATCCAGAAATGGTCTTGTTTTCCTGGATAGGAATCAATTTGAGAGTCCCCACTCATACTGATCAGCTTTAAAGTGGTTCGTCTTAAGGTTTCTAAGTCTCCTAAACTATCTCCAATGTTAATACCACAGGTAAATGGAACAGAAAGAGAAAAGTCAAAGCAATCAGAACAATGCTTCATTACTGCTTCACACTCATTAACCTGTCGTTTGTATTTTAAGTATGCATAGTATGAATTTTTTCCCCTTTTGGTTTCTTCTAACAGTTCAATTAATTGATCACGATAGTTTCGCAACTCACAGAATGCATTATATTTTAATCTTCCTTGAAAAGCCGGATAGAAATTGGACTGTTGCTGAAACCCATGTGGTCTGCCAAGCAGCTCACTGTACAATGTCTCATCATACCAAAGCAAGCTTCGGAATGTTGGTTCACCTCCTAAGAGCCTTTTTTTGTTTTCAATGAATTGAATCGTTTCCATCACCATCTGGAGTTCTACCAAGGAGTCAACAGCACATGGTTTTAATTTGCGGCTGCAATTACTCCACAGGTTTTGTTCCACCAAAAGGTCTCTTGAAATCAAGACTTGTTCAAATGAACATTCTTGTTTTCTTTCAAAAGCTTCAACAAATAAAGGTAGAATATTTTGACAAACTTTAGTTTCTTCCTGTAGAATCTGCAAAGATGATGCTTCGTCAGCCCTCCTCAAACTCTGAGCTAGCTGAGCTATAAGAGCCGAACGATTAGCTGAGTAATGTTCTTCTTTTAATTCATTCATGTGTGATGCAGGCTTCTTCTGAGGAGCAGAGACTTCGGAAGTGCCAGAGTGGGCATGTGTAAGAGGCCTATGGTTCATTCCTATAAGGCCTGGTAAGGAATTACAGGCTATTTCTGAATGCAATACAGAGTCAGACTGAGTGTCACGATTAACTTTAATTCCCTCCTCTCTCTGTCTAAGCTGATTAGAAGCTCTGTTACTCAAAGATACTGCCTCTGTAGTATTTTTAATGCATAAATGAGAATCAATCAAGTTATTTTTAATTGTTTTCTCACTGACATAGGAGGATTCTTCCAGTACACTATTCTTTTGGTTTTTGCTCTCAGTCTTAACAGTTGATCCTTCAGTCACGTTTCTGTGAACTGAATCTTTTGCTTTTTCTGCTTGTTTATCTTTCCACATTTTTCTGTCCTGAATGTCTTTTTCTGTGATCCGTTCTTTTGAGGAAGAACACTTTATATTACCTTTTAGGAGCAGAGAACTATCATTGGAAAATAGTTTTTTCATTATATTTTCCTCAAAACTTTT